AAGAGTCCTACAACAGGGCCCATTTACAAACGAGTAATAAAAAAGAAGTCAAGTATGAACCCATCTGCATTTCTGTGTGTTCTACACTCCCTACTAAGGCAGTGTGAGACAGGGAGATTAGCAGATATAAAATTTATTCAGCGACCATGGCAGCTGCTCACTAGTGAATCAGAACAGACTAAGTAATGGGAGTAGCATTCTGGTGGCCACTAGCTGGTTCAGGTGTCCTTCTTCTGGGTGTCCTGGAGGCATGGTTGGGGTTGCAGAACATGACCAGTTTGACTGATCCATATGAAATTGTCAATACCCAGTAGTTTTTGTTTTACAAAAGAACAATAAAATGAGTTCATTCAAAACAAAACTAAATTTATTTCTAGGAACCACCTAAGTACCTAGAATTATTCAAAAACACATGAAAGGCCATTCTTACATTCTCATTTTCATTTAGGAAAGCTGCTGGTGTGCTTTGACACACCAACATCTGAACCCTCACACAAACATACACATGAGCACACACACTACACACATACATGAGCACAAACATTTGTACCTACCTGAGCACATACAACCAACATCCACATACAGGAGCATACACGCTATGCACATTACACACACATGAACACAAACATACACACCTACATGAGTATATACAACAGACATCCACATACATGAGTACATATAATACAGCTATGTGTGTATTGCAATTCATACATGAGCATACACCATTGTGTACACATACATACATATATACATACATACATGAATGCATAGTGATCAATTCCCCCCGTTATTTTTTTTTAATACAGAATAGGAAACAGAAGGGTATGTAATGCTGAGCTGTTACAGGACAACAGTTGTTTTTAACCATATTTGCTTCTCTTTTATTGACTCTTGAAGAGGGGCATTTTTTAGTTCTTACAAAGATGCATCTGAATTCTCCTTCAAGATAGAACAACAATGAATAGAATCAAATGTAATCTCCTGCAGAGAGTTGACAGAGGTGAGAAGCCATAGTGTTAGCCCATAAAGAAGCATGTAAGGCGGGGTCAGGGGAACACAAGGAGTTGTGTGTTTCTCCCTGACTGTCAGTTAACAGGAGGCTGTCACAGCTCCCTGCTGTTGAAAGCATAAGCAGTTGATTTTCTGTAGCCTGGTTCTGATCTTTTCAGTCACTATCAGTTTGAAGCCTCGTGTAATGACACTGCTTGCAAGAGATACTCATATTTTCTATCCCAAAGCCTTGTTCCCAAATACTGTTGCATGGTAAACCTGAAAATGAGGCTGTAGCAATTGGCAACACAAGGAATTGTGGGGTTCCCTGAAGAACTTGCCTTTAATGAATGAATTAGATACTGTATCCCTCTAATGTAGGTCACTTAAGTCATGTTTATTTCTTACCAGAGTGAAGAATTTAGAAAAGTTCAAGGTTGGAAGGTTTTGTAAGTGAAGTCGTTAAAGTCTAGACAGAGCAGTCTGCCAAGTTATATCACATCTTGGAGGGTAAAGATATAAAATTCTATTGGCATAACCATAAAGTTTTGGTTTCCTTTCGACTCATATTACCTCATGCACTCCTTTGGTACTTAGTCAGAAACAGATTCAAGATCTGTTCTTGTGCTGTCGGATTCTCTGCTCTGACATAAGAAACCACATGCTTTACCGTGAGCGACCATTTCAACGCCCATCATAAATACATAGCTGTTGAGAAGTAGGCATTTCATCTACACAACAAAAACCCACAGGAAGTCCAAGGGCCCAGGTAGAGGTCAGCACTCTTGCTAAACAGTATTGATTTGAATCCTAAGTCCAAAACCTCGAGGTCTTTGTTTGCCCTCCCTAGTTGTCAGACTCTTGAGGTCCAGTCTTTGGCCCCTGGGGGTGAGCTAAAAGTGAGGTATTTCTGATGTTTCCTTGGACACTTTTGGTTTTAAGTTTCTTTTGGTTTTTCAAGAACACTGTAGGGACGTTATTGGAGAACTCCTAGGAGCTATCTTGCCAAGAAACCAGAGTCTGGTTTATAGCAAAAAGCTGGCTTTGCAAGTGGGAGAGATGCCAAATAGCCAGAGCCTGGGGACTTCTTTTTGAGAAGAATTCAAGAGACTGCCACATTTCTTATCTGATTCTCTTTTGCACTTGAAAATCACAAGACTTTGGCTAAGGTCCTTGCATGCATGATGTCTACGCATTGAACAGCTCTCTCTCCCTTTTATCCATCAGAATTCAATTTCTGTCTCTAATTATTCTTTGTTAGTCTGAATAAAAACTTTGCCTCTGAAATCAGAAAAAAAAATACCCTCCCCTGAAAACAGGACACCCTCTCTTCACTCTGCTTCCAGTATCAATGCTCTTTCCGTTGCCCATCACTATGTTTGCCAGATAACCCGTTATGGGAGTGCAAACCAAACATGAACAAATAAATCATCCTGAAAGCTGGGGCTTCCCAAGGGTAACATCAGAGATTATCAGTCAAGCAGAAATGTTAGCATTCATTTTTCCCATGTTGTAAGGCCCTTTGTTAGTACAACTTTTCCTTTTTTTTTTTTTTTTTTTTTTTTTTTTTTTTTTTTTTTTTTGTAGAAAAGGCACAATGCCCTACATTATGGGAGGCATTCTATACCAATAGCAGTTAGTAGTTAGTCTTATGGAAGTGCTCTGCATTGGGCCCTGTAGTTCACATAAACACCCCTTACAGTGCACACTGTCCCAGTGCACACCACCTTACAAGGTCCTTGGAGCATTCAAAGATCAACCCTTTAGCTTTCCGATCTCAAGAGGAATAATCAGCCAAGCTCTCTGTGATGGCCCAGGCCAGAGGAGACTGTTCATTAGCAAGGGAGGATCGCTTCTGTCTGGGTTCCTGAGACTGAAAAGAGAACACAATCCCCAGTCAATCTGATACTGGGAATCGAGATTCCAGGGCTGGAAGCACTGTCATTTTGCTGTCTTCTCTTTCTCAGTGTTGTCTGATGTATTCTTTTTGTGATTTTTTTTATTTGTTTGTTTTTATTTTTGGAGCTTGTCCTGTAGCTCACTCTGTAGACCAGCCTGGCCTTGAACTCACAGAGATGTGCCTGTCTCTGCTTCCTGAGTGCTGGGATTAAAGTCATGTACCACTACTGCCTGGCTTCTTTTTGCTATTTTCTTTTTTAATTCATCCACATCCTTAGTGATTTTTTTTCTGTCTGCTTGACCTATCTACTTTTGGTAAAGAGATATTGAAGACTTTCCAACAGTTCTTCATCTAGTTCTTCTCATAGTTCTGTCAGGTTTGTCCCATTATTTTGACACTTCACTGTTTGGCACACACTTGTTAATAACTGTTATAGTTTGCTGAAAAATCAAGTTCATTATTGTTATGTAATGATGTTTTTCTCCATGATGATGTTCCTTGTTTTGAAGTTTGTGCTGTCTAAAGTTACTGTGGCACCTTCTCTCTCTTGTTAACACTGGCACATTGTTATACATGTTTCATCTACTCCATATATGCCTTTTTGTCTTAATTTTGTGTGTATATGTGTGCATGAATGTTTGTGTGTGTGTATGGACACATGTGGGTTTAGATGTCTGATCCCATGAACATGTATGTGGACACCTAAGTTTGATGTTGGAAGTCCTTCTCCATCATTCTCCACCTTATTTGTTTTGAGGCAGGGTCTCTCAATCAAACCCAGAGCTTGTAGATATAGTTATCCCCACTAGCCAGGGATTCCTCCTGAGATCCTCTGTCTTTATCTTCTGAGGCTGGAATAATAGACAAGCAGTCATGTCTACCTGGTATTTATATGAATTCTAGGGATCTGAATTCTTGGTCTTTTGGATTGTGCAGAATCATGTTAACTGCTGAGCCACAACCCCACTGGATAGAATCAACTGGGGAGAGTCAACATCTATGTCTACACTATCGAACAATAGCAGAACATCTATTCTTCTGAGCACCTAGATAGCCAAGGTGGTATTTGGAGCCATAAAACACATCTCGGAAACTTTGAGCCAATAGAAAGAATCGAGAACACACTTGAAGCAGACAAAAGTTTCAGCTTCACATTTCTGCAATGATTTCTGGAAGAAATCTGGAAAAAAACTTCCGAAACATACTGAACTAATGAAAGTATGACTTACCAAGTGTGTGACCTAGGAAAACCATCCTGGAAGACCACAGTAGCAGATGCATATTCACTTTGGGAAACTTGAAAAGAAAGAGCAAATGAAATCTGAAATAGCAGAAGGAAAGAAATGAAAATGAAGCAGAAATCAGTGATATTAAAGTCTGGAAAAAAACCAATGGAACAAAAAAAATCACTAAATTTTTAAAAAATAGGCCAAAGACCTTAGCAGGTACCTCTCAAAAGAGGCGATATCAACAGTGAGACTCAGGAAGATGCCCCACATCACAGAAAACCAGTGGTATGAGTCAACCGTGAGATACACCGTGACTATTTAAATGAACACAGTTCAGAACCAGGACAACACTAAATACTAGCAAAGGCATGGAGCAATAAGAACCCTCATTTTCTCCTGGACAGAACTAGAAATCTCCAGCCCCTCCAAAAGGCAGCAGTGCGATCCTCTTACCTTGTAATAAAATCACAATTCTTGGCATCAACTCAGGGATGTCGAAAACCTAAAACTGCCCAAGAACTTACACATGGATGTTATGACAGTTTTATTCAGAATTGCAAAAAACTCTATCCTTCAGTGAATGAATAGGTAAAGAAACTGTGCTTCATCCAGATAATTAGGAATGAAAAGTAATGCGATATCAGCTGTGAAAAGACATGGAAGAAACTTAAATGCCTATTGCTAAGTGAATCTGAAGAGACCATCTGCTGAATGATTCAACTACATGGCATTCTGGAAAAGGTAAACTGATGACGACAGTAAAAATGGTTCATGCTTGCCAAGTCACAGAGGAGGGAAAGATGAACAACAGAATACAGCAGATTTTAGGGCAGTGACATACTGTGAAGAATATCGTGATTCATTCATCTAAACCTGAAGAATGCCCAACACCGGAAGTGAGCCAGATGTCAGCTATGGACTCCAGGTGACACTGACACACCAGCATAGCTTTGTCAGCCACACAGATGATCACTAAGTATATATTCAGGAGTAGAGGGGTCATTTTGGAATTCTGAATCAAAGTTTTTGTGACACCAGAGAGGCTATTCTTACCAATGATGCACAGGGATTCCAATTGTCCCACACCCCTGCCAATATTTATTATTTTCTGGATTAAAAAAAAATAGCAGCTATCCTGTATGCAGCATGCTGTGACAGTTTTCTGACTTATTTTTCCTTTTTCTTTTAATCTAGAAACTTCACTATAACCTGACTTTACTCTCACATAAACACTAAATACTAGAAAAGGCACCTCTGAAGAGGTGGTGTCTCTTTTTCCATTCCTCAAGTCTATGTTGGCCTTGTGATTTGCTTTGACCAGGAGACTGGGATAGAAATGGTGTTGGCAGAGCTCTGAGCCTCAGCCACACTGTTGCTCCCATTCTTGGAACCCTGTCCAGCCACAATGAAAACCAAGCCTGGGCTAGCTGACTTAAAATGAGGAATAAGTGTTTCCATTATGTCATTGTACCAGCTGACAGTCAGCCAACAGCCATACCTGACCCTGAAGCCATTCCAGCCATGCAATCTACAACCATCCCTTACCTCAGAACTACAGAGACATAAGCCAGCTCAATGAATATTCAAAGAACTACCCAATGGGGATGCACTCATGCAAAAGTATTTATTTAGGTTGCTGATATTTGGGAAGCTTTGTTATGTAGTGGTACTTAGATTATATGTGACTTCTTTTTTTTGTTTGCTTGTTTTTGTTTTTTTGTTTTGTTTTGGTTTTGGTTTTTTGAGACAAGGTTTCTCTGTGTACAAGCCCAGGCTGTCCTGGAAATTGCTTTGAAGACCAGGCTGGCCTGGAACTCACAGAGATTCACTTCCCTCCGCCTCCCAAGTGCTGGGATTAAAGGCCATGCACCACCACTGCTTGGCTATCAATGACTTCTTAAGACAAAATCAAGAAGTGGCACATAAGAGAATAGTAATTCTGAGGACCAATTGGATCTTGCACATGGAAAGCTTTCTTTCAATGCCTGATTCTTAAACAAGTACTTGATGTCATTATCAAAAGGTAAACACTAGAGTGTGAGCTAAGGATATTTGCATAAACCACAAAAGGGCCTAGAAAGAATGTCTCATTTCATAATACTCAAAAATAAAAATAAACACAAACAAGTATTTGTATTAACCAAAGAAATATTTCCTTTGGGGCTTTGATCTCCTGACCCATGTGCCACACTTGTACACAGGATCCTTACACTCTACCAGCGGTATTTCAAGGAAACATGAGAAATCATTTCAGTAGCAAATTCCTGTTTCTCTTTGCCTTTAAGTGAGACTTAGGCACAAAATAGTGAAAAGCATCATGGCTGAAGATCTCTCCTAGTCAGAGAGCAGAGGTCTTCAGTGGATGGAGTGATCAGCATCCCCCAAAATGTGAATGAAGATGTGTCCCTCTGTAGAGCAACCAGGACAAGCCTTTTCTATGCAGTCTGATATGAAGCCATTACCAGGGTTCATTTCCCAGCAATCCCTCATATCTGATAGCCACCATGGTTCAGTTTGACTCTAATTTTCCCAAAGCCTAAGTAGCTTTTCTTCTGAGAAAATTAAGAAAGAAGGAAAGTGAGACTAATTTATGCAAATACATGCAACACAAATCAGACCGTTTCTGCCAGAAATCACAGTCTCTGGAGAGATTTAGTGTTTTCTCACTTTGCACAAGCTCCCATAACATGGTGGCAGTGTGCCCAGGCCACCATCTTGGCTTTGTGATAGTAATTTGTTCATTTATCTTTAAAAATAGAGACAATTTAATCTAACCTGAAAGTTCAGTAAGTGAATGACAAGGAGAATTTCAGTGGCTGCAGTCAATTAGCCAAGCCTGTCAAAAGCTCCTACCTATCCCACACCTGAAATCTAAAAGACTCGAGGAGAGTGGAGTCATTGTCATGCCGAGAAGTATCACAGAGATGATGAGGAGGACATGGAAATATCAGAGTCAGGGGAGGTCAACTTTATAAGCTCAGGCCCAGCAGAATCAATTACTAAACGCAAATGATAATGACTTTAAGCATGAATGCAGGAGCTGCGAAGGTAAAGACACCGGGCATGCATACACGGAAAGGAAGTGTAGAGTAGAAGGGGGAAGACATTTAGTGACAGCTAAGGGGTGTGAGGAAGAGGAACAGATATTAGGAGGTGGATGAGAGTATTGTGGGAATTACCAATACAGAGCCATGTAAAAATACAAGGGAATTTATTAGGGAAAAGCCTTACTTAATAGCGACCTAGCCAGCCAGCCGGACAGCAATAAGTACAGAAAGCCAAAGATGAAACGGAAGTAGGGGCCTTCCTCATGCGTGCCCCTCACTCTTAAACCTTCCCTACATCACCCTGACCACGCCCTCGAAGGCGTGGTCAGGCACACCTGTAGCAGCCCCTAGCAAGCGTGGTTACAGTTTCCCCTACAAGAGAGGGCTATGACAAATGAGAGCAGCAAGTGGGGATTGAAGCCGCTAGAGAGAAAGGGACAATGCAAGCAGAAGAGATGGGATTAAGAATGTGGCTATGATACGGCAGGTTTAAAAGGCACAACTTGGTGTTAAATATGTAGTGTTATCTCTTTGGCTATAATGAAAACGAATTTAGCTTTACAGCTTTCCTTCATATCCTTATCTCTTTCCCTTGTGGTTTTAAATAGGATCAAGTCAGGATTTAAACTTGGACAATTGAATATTGCAAATTGTCCTCCCTCTTTTTTTCTTTCCCTGAAAGGCCTGGGTTTCCTGGGATTCCATCTATTGCTAGGGCACCATCCTGGCTCTTGTGATGATGTAGCTTGATCTCCATGTCCACCAAACTCTAGCCATTTCTCCTCCATGATTGTCAGCTGCAGGAACTTTGAAGGTCTTTCCCAGGGGGAGAGAGGATACTTTCTAAGATTCGGGGGTTATTTTCACAAATTTAGTGGGTTTATTATTGAAACATACTAAAGGTCTGGAGAGATGGCTCATCCCTTAAGAACACATGATGCTGTTGCAGAAGACCCTAGTTGGTTCCCAACTCAAGCCTAGTGGTTCCCAACTGCCTGTAACTCAAACTCAAAAGGGATCCAAGGCTTCTGGCTTCCACACACAGACATACACACACATGGATGTAACTGATAACAAAATCAATCTTTACAAATAAAAAAAGATAATGAAGGAATGGAGAGATATTCCCGTGGGTATAATAACTGTCATGCAAGCATGGAGATATGAATTCATGGAGATGCCCAGAATGCACACAAACCCAGACACTGCAGAAAGAGCCTGTATTCACAGTATGCTTACAAGGAGATGAGAAGCAGAGACAGGAAAACCTTGGAAGCCGGTTAGTCTTCCCTACACAGCAGCGAACAATAGAGACCTGCTCAAAGAAGGTGGGATGCAACAAGCATTCCCCAAGGATGCTGGTGTAGCATAGCACACATGTACCAGCATTTGCATACATAAACAGATTTCACTAAAAATTCTTTAACAGAAACACTAAATAAACTAAAATCAGATGAAAGTAGAGCTTTGTAAAAGAAGCAAAAGAGGAAACAAAGAAAGTAGTAGTTATAAGTAAACATGTTAAGCCCACCAGGGTGTCAGGAATAGCAACAGAAGCTGCAAGATCCCTTCTTAGAGACAGAGGATTGTATTCCCTTATACCCTGGTAGCTGGGGCACTGGAACTTCCTGATGCTGATTCTTGGATCCTACAGGGAGCTGTGGGAAGGATCAGGTGTCTCTTCCACATGGAATGGATTGAGTTGTAGGAGAGAAACTCTGAGGTTAAGGCAGCTGGGTCATTTATAATGAGCAATAAATATACTCAGTAGGGAGACAGCATTCTACAGAACTGTGCTCACTCAAAAGAATGTTCTAGGAAACGTAAAACTCTTGCATGTGCCACTGTAGGATGTACAGAAATGTAAAAAAAAAAAAAAAAAGAAAAGAAAAAAAAGAAAGGCCTTTGAGAACCAGCTCTAGACTTCATTAACTTTAGAATCTTTACATCATTTTGTCATTTCATTAAGAAATTGGAAAAAAATTTAAATCCATGTGTGTGTTTAGAACATCTTTTGTTCCTAAAACCCTGAGGTTATCCTTCATTTTGTTATAATGAATATGCTGCTTCAGAACAAAACAAAATTAACCCAGCTTTTAAAATAAGATTTATTTATTTTTCTTGTGAGCATGGATGAGCCTGCGTAAGGTTATGTGCACCACATTGTGTGTGTGTGTGTGTGTGTGTGTGTGTGTGTGTGTGTGTGTGTGTGATCCCATGAAGGCCAGAAGAGGGCGGCAGACACTCTGGAACTGGAGTTACAGGCAGTTGTGATTGCCACGTGGGTGCTAAGAACAAAAGTCCAGGCCTCTGCAAGAGCCATAAGCCTTCTTAGCCACTGAGGATGAGCTTTTATTTGTATAGAGTGCTTTGATACATTATAATTGGAAATGAACGGTCTTTGTATGCATAAGGACACCCTGACACACAGTCTTTCCTCCCATCGTGATGATGAATTCACAGTGATGTGCCCTTACCCATTTATCTGGTCTTTTTATATATATAAAATGAATGGTGCATGCCGGTAGATCAAGAAAAAATATAATAGAGACATCCTTATTATGTTAATGTCTTAAGGGTAAATATTGCTATGCTTTACACAT